GACAAAACTCTTTTGTCCTTTGAAGGCAATTAGGTATATTTTTCATATCAGTCCAATGCTCTTGCCTTGGGTTGGCCTGGAATCTGTTTACCACACTCACTGCCTGAGCAATGTCAGGACGAGTGCATAGCATGACATACATGATGCTCCCTACAACTGATGCATAGGGAACGCCCTTTATGCTCTCAATCTCCTCGGGAGTCTTGGGAGACATTCGTTTAGAGAGAGTGATTCCGTGGCTGAAAGGAACATTTCCCTTCTTGGAGTTCTTCATGTTGTATCTCTTGACTATCTTGTCAATGTAAGCAAATTGGGATAATCCTATTATCCTCTTCGATCTATCTCTATAGAGTTGAAGACCTAGTATATAGGAAACTTCTCCAAGATCTTTCATGGAGAGTTGCTGTGAAAGACATACTTTCGCCGTTGTCAACATTCCTACATCATTCTCAATGAGTAGAATGTCGTCCACATACAGAACCAAGAAGGTAACCTTATCCCCACTGGATTTTCTGTAAACACAAGACTCATCCGGATTCTGCTCAAAGTCAAACCTTTTGATAGTAGAGTCAAATCGGATGTTCCAACTTCTAGAAGCTTGCTTAAGTACATATATTGATCTATTTAATTTACATACCATGTGTTCCTGATTTGCAGCTATAAAACTTTGCGGTTGCTGTATATAGATATGTTCAGTAAGATCTCCATTCAGGAACACAGTTTTGACATCCATTTGCCAAATCTCATAATCATGGTATGCTGCTACAGCTAGCAGGATCCTAATGGATTTAAGCATGGCCACTGGCGAAAATGTTTCCTCATAATCTAGTGGCAAAAGGATATACTCATAATCTTTTAGGTCTCAACTTTACCATCGGGGCCCTTCTTCCTCTTATATATCCATTTGCAACCAATTGCTTTTACCTCGGGGGGTGGATCTACTAGAGTCCAAACTCCATTGGTCTCTATTGAGTCCATCTCATCTCTCATGGAATCTACCCACTTCAAGGAATCTGTGTCCAACATAACTTTTGTAGCTTCCACCAGGTAACTATCCTGGTCATAGCCGAAATGGACTTGAGGCCTGGAAATCCGGGTAGATCTTCTAGGTTGGTCATTACCTGGAAAATAGGAAAAATGACAATGGAGCGAGTGCCCTTTTTTCCCTCCCCTCTTCGACAGTTCCTGTTATGCCTCCGTTGTAGTTCTCTTTTTTTCTCTTGATGAACAGCATCAAGTGTGGGCCATGGTGGCGATTACGGTGGCGAAATGAGAATACCACCCCTCCTACTGGCCATGGTGGCGGTTATGGTCGCGGCCAGCGGCGAGGGCTCTGTTTCATTGTTTTTTTTTTAGAAAGAAGATAATGAACAATGTGTTTTATGGTTGCACATGAGGTCACGTGATATACATAACTGACTGTCCATTAATGGTAGGTATTAGATTGTTGCATTTCGAAAGTTCAGGTACTAGATTGTCGCGTTTTAAAGTTTGGGTACTAAATTGGTACTTGGCCTAAAAGTACAGTGTACCTATCGGGAATTTTCCCTTATTTATATTTTATCTTCTTATTATTGAATATTATTAAATCTATTATATTTAATTTTATGTTTTCAAGAATTTTTTTAAAGTTATTACATCATTTTTTATTTAATCTATTTTTTGTTTTTTAAATAATCTTTAAAATATGATTTAGTAATATTTCAAAATTAGTTATTTATAACATTGTTTAGTTATTTTTTATATTTTATATTCTTATTAACAAAGATTACCAAATCGTTATAATTATTTTTCTGTTTTTGATAATTTCTTAAAGATATAATATAATTTCTTATTTAATCTAGCTTTTTTTGTTTATGAAATAATATATAAGATATGACTTAGTTATTAATTTTTTGATATTTAAAGTATTTAAAAAATAATTATTTACATTAATACTTAATTATTTAGATAATACCATTATTTAATTTTTCAAAATATTAATTATTTATTAAATTTAATGATCCATAAAATTAGAAATTATACTACATAATTTTGTTCTTAATTTTGTAAAGTATAAAATTATTATTAATTCAAATATTATGACAGATAGTATAATTACTTTTCTACTCTTAAGAATTCTTTTAAATTTATTACATAATTTCATTATTTTAACTATTTAAAATTTAGTTATGTTAAATATTTCAACATTTAAATATTTAAATAATATTTAAAATATTTAAATTCTTTTGTTATTTGAATTTTATTTCTTTTAAAGTTATTACGTAATTTCATTATTAATAATATGAATTTCATTATGAAAACACTTTTATGAAAGCATAAAAACACTTTTATGAAAGTACTTTTACGAAAGCACTTTTACGAAAGCACTTTTACAAAAGTACCTTTACATGAAAGAACTTTTGTACTTTTATAAAAGCATAAAAGCACTTTCAGAAAAGTACTTTTGTGAAAGTACTTTATGAAAGCACTTTTATGGAAGTACTTTTATAAAAGTACTTTTATGAAAGCACTTTTATAAAAGTTGTGGTTTTTTTTACATTTTCTGTAATTTTTTGGTATTTTCTACATTTTTGCAAATTTCTGGTTTTTTACATTTTTTAAAATTTTTGGTATTTTTTTTGCATTTTCTACATTTTTTGGTGCTTTTCTACATAATTTTTGCATTTTTTCTAGTGTTTTCACGCACTTCCTACAATTTCCTAGTATTTTTTGCTTTTTTTCTGATTTTTTTGCCAAAGTTCTGCATTTTCTACAATTTTGTAGTATTTTTTTTGCATTTTTTGTAATTTTTTTGGTATTTTTTGAATTATCTATATTTGTTTTTGTTTTTTTTTCATTTATCTACAATTTTTGCATTTTCGGGTATACGGGTTGACCTAACCCTTTTTTTTTTCACGTGGCAATCTTGAGAGAGATGATTCTCTAAAAAATGTTTCTTTTATATACGGGTCAACCCAACCCGTTTTTGTCATGTGGCAGTCTTAAGAGAGATGTTTTTCTCAAAATGTTTTATTTTTTGAGTATGCATGCCAACCCGACCCAGTTATTTCACATGGCATCCTTGAGAGAGATTATTCTCTCAAAAATTGTTTTTCTTGAGTATATGGGTTGTCCCGACTCATTTTTGCCACATGATAGGCTTGAAAGATGTTCCTCTCAAAATTTTTTTATTTTCGGTATATGGGTCAACTTGACCAATTTCTGCCACGTGACAACCTTGAGAGAGATGCTCCTCTTAAATATTATTATTTTGTGTATATGAATCATCCCAACCCATTTTTGTATTTATATGTGAGGGTAGGTGGGTCAATATGAGTGAGGGTGGTTAAAGGTCAATATAGATAGGTCAAGTGGGTCATATAAGTGGGTCAAAGTAGGTTATGACCTTTAAACAGGATTAATATTCAACCCTTACCCAAACCAACTTAATCCACCTATTTGCCACCCGCAGTGGAAACCCCTTTTTATGGCGTGAACCTTCAATTCACACTTTGTAATTCCTGATGATCCTTTGAATTGAATTTACCACACTTGTATTACTGAATATGTCAACAGTAACCAAGCAAGATAAGTGACAATTAATGCAAAAGACAAATTCAATATTCTAATGTGAAAGATAACTTAATCATTTACATATTGTTGACTGATCGAGGAAGAGAGCGCATTGTCCAGGGAGGCACAGCTACAAGTGTTATAAGATCAGTGTAGGGAACAATCTTGTGAGGAGGAAATCCAAACCTTTGATGTTTACATTCCTTTGTATAACTCGTTTTCGTCTGTCATCTTAATACTGAAACATTTCAATGAGGCGGCCATATTTTCGTTTACATTGGAAGAGAGACTACAAAATACAGATTAGGAAGTGTGCTTTCATACATTTTTATTAATTATTTTATCGGAAAATTTTATGTTTTTTTTCCTGAAATTTCTGTTAATTTTCTGCATTTCTTATTATTTTTCGTAATTTCTGCTATTATTGTCTGCAATTCCTATATTGTTTTTGCAATTTATGTAATTTTGGAATTTTTTTCCTTTCTATATTTCAATTTAATTGATGCTATTTTTTCTGCAATTTTTATGTTTTTTCCAATTTCTATGTTTTCTTTGTAAGTTCTATATTTTGTATTGTATCTAATTATATACTAATCCGATCCGTTTACATGAATCGGTTTGGATTCTGTTTCTATGGGATTGGGTCCAGACTCTAGACTCCAGACCATTTATAATGGGCTTACATCAAATTGGATCGGGTAGGAACAAAACCCGGTCCATAGAAACCCCCAGTCTGCACAATGGGAACATCTCCCTAATGTACAACTGTAATGACTTGTTGGAACAGGGATGATAGCGTTTGTTGGTAACACAGTAGTACTCCCTAAATCAATTAAAAGGGGAGAAAGTTTTATCCAGAAGTTGCTATATATATATATATATATATATTTCTTAATCATCAAAAGTGGTTGGGGACTTGGGGTTTATTTAAATTTATTTCTCATCAAGTTTTGATATATATATTCACGTTTCTGTGTGGTTTCTTTTTTTGAAACCATGGTTTTTAAAACCGATTCAGAGATCGAACCAATTAGGGGTCCGGTTACCGGGTCAAGCGATTCGACCATTCGAACCAAATGGTCGATTTATTCTGACAAAAAATTTAAAAAATTAAAAAAATTTAAAAATGGTCAAAACCATTTGAATGATTAACCATCCGGATCAACGATTTGCTGACTAAAATCAATGATTTTGAACAAATTTCCAGTTTTGGGAAAAACCAAAACCGATTACCTGACTAATTCCCAATTTTTCTAGTCCGATCGCCCAGTCCGGTCCGATTTTGAAAACCATTGAAAAAATAGATGGCCCAATCCCATGTGTTGATGGCGAGATTGATTCAACATTTGGCAAGAGGACTACTAGACTTCTCTAGCTAAAGTTCAAGTGCGACAATTTGACTTTATTATATTTAGTAGTTGAGGCAAGCAGGAGATTTCAAAGTCTTCAAATTTGGCACTCCCACAACCACCTTCCTTCCAATATAAATATAATGGGCCATACCGTGAACCTTGTCACACCGTCCACACATAATTTCATAGTCTGTCCTTTCACACTAGATGCGGTCTAGTGTGACCTCGGGATATCAGATTCGATCTCCGGATAAGCGATGACAGTCTGACCTCGGGCCTGCAATAATGTAAAAGGGAAAGGATGATACTTGTACAGAAAGTTGATCAAAATCAAAATCAAAATCAGAGAACAATAGCTAGGGGGAATGGCTGAAGCTGTGATTGGTGGTGTCACTGAGGGTATCATCAATAAGTTGATCTCCCTGATTGCTGACGAAATCGGTCTGGCATGGGGTTTCAAGGGAGAACTGCGAAAACTTCAAAACACTCTGGTGGGGATTCAGAATGTGCTTGAGGATGCCGAGACGCTCCAAGTTACAGACATGAATGTGAAAAAGTGGTTGATGAGTCTCAAAGATGTGTCTTATGAAGCTGATGATGTATTAGATGAATTTGCAACTGAAATGTTGCGATACAAGGTTGAGAATACTGGGAACCGCTTGACAAAAAAGGTACGCAACTTCTTAACACCCAGCTCCAACAACCCAGTTGCATTTCGTCTTAGGATGGTTCATAAGATCAGAAATATCAATGTGAAGTTGGATGAAATTGCAAAAGAAAGGGATAGATTTCATTTCAAAAATGTGACTACTAAAGAGAGAATAACAAACAACAGAGAAACCACTGCATCTCTAGATGATGATGATTTACCGGTTGTTGGGAGGGATAAGGATAAATGGATCATCATAGATAAGTTGATTAAAAGCAGCGCCAGCCCAGAGGCTACTGTGTCTGTGTCTGTCCTTCCCATAGTGGGGATGGGGGGATTGGGCAAGACCACACTAGCTAAATTGGTCTATAACGATGCGTCCATCCAGGGTTTTTTCGATTTAAAAATGTGGGTCTGCGTGTCAGATGACTTTGATGTCAAAAGGCTTGCCACAGAAATCATACACTCCGCTGGCAATACAACATTTGCTTCAACAACAAATTTGAATACAATCGAAACATCCCTTCGAAGCATTTTGGAAGATAAAAGGTTCTTAATCGTACTTGATGATGTTTGGAACGAAAATGTTGCAGAGTGGAATCGATTCAGAAAGTGTTTAGGAGATGGTGCTAAGAAAGGAAGCAAAATCCTTGTAACCACACGCAGTGAGAAGGTTGCGTCCATCGTGCATACGCATACGGGGGATGGACCTACTCCTCTAATAATGCACCATTTGAAAGGATTATCTTTTGAAGATTGTTGGTCCATATTCAAGCAGAGAGCATTTGGTTATTGTAGGGTTGATGTGGCAGAGGATCAAATTGATGATTTGGTAGAAATTGGAAAGGCGTTGGTGAAGAGGTGTCAAGGTGTACCATTAGCAGCAAAAGCACTGGGCGGGCTTATGCGCAACAAAAGATCAAAGGAGGAATGGGTGTGGGTGAGAGATAGTGGAATTTGGAAACAATTCGAAAACGATACCAAGATTTTACCAGCTCTGAAGCTGAGTTACGATGATTTGCCTTATTATTTGAAGCAGTGTTTTGCTTACTGTTCCGTGTTTCCCAAAGACCATAAGATTATAAAATATGATTTGATAAGGCAATGGATTGCGCATGGGTTTGTGGTCGCAGCAGCTGAGAACGATGAGGCTAATTCATTGGTAGATACTGCAGACGGATACTTCAATAGCTTATTGGGTAGATCGTTTTTTCAAGATGTAGAGAGGTATTCATCTGGTAACATATGGAGATGCAAGATGCATGACCTTATGCATGATCTTGCACAGTCTGTTAATGGAGATGAATGCAATGTCATTGAGTTGTCATCGGCAGTAGATGATGATCGACAACAACAACAACAACATAATAATAATAAACTAGTAAGATGGATTCATGAAAAAAGTACAACTCTGCATTTGTCAATTGTTTCATCAACAACTAAGACTATTACAAACCCAGTTCATCAACTATTCTCGGCATATGTTAATAATTCAAGCAGAAGCAGATTCCATATCCATACTATTATTCTTCTCTCATCAAATTGTTGGAGTCGTATTAATGTTGACAAAAGGGTGTTGGATTTTATCTGCTTAAACTTTAAGTGCTTACGTTTGTTGGACTTGCAGCATGCTAAGATTAGGGAGGTTTCATCTCGGATTGGCAAGTTGAAACATTTAAGATACCTTGACCTCTCAGACACAAATATTGAAGAATTACCTGACTCAATCACCAATCTCTACAACTTACAGACGTTATTTCTCTTCGCCTGCTGCAAACTCAAACAGCTCCCACGAGACATGAGAAAGATGATTAGTTTGAGAGATCTTGATATCCGTGACAGTGGCATCAATAAGATGCCGGAGGGAATGGGACAATTAACCAACCTCCAAACACTAAGGGGTTTTGTAGTGGGCAAGGATGGTGGCGGTGGTATTGGAGATCTGGGCCCTTTGAATCATCTTCGTGAATTAGATATAGTTTTCAAAGCTGGCTGCTTCCACAACCTCAACCTCGACAGACGAGCGAGAGAAGAAATAAGCAGGGCAAAGTTATTGAAGGAAAAGCGCAACCTTGGTCAGTTGTCATTGTCCTGGAGAGAAGACGAAGAAGACAACTCTGTTCATCTGGATCATCAGGAAGTTGTCAATGATGTGCTGCTGGAAGCTCTCCAACCTAATTCTAATCTGAAATGGTTGCTGATAGAAGGGTTTCCTGGTACAAGATTACCTTCTTGGATCACAATGGCTCAACATGTGTATATCTTTGTATGTCCTCAACTGAGATCTTTAAAAGAAGGGAACCCAAACTCGGTGTTAATTGAAGAGTTGTACATCAGAAGTTGCCGCAACCTGACGTCTCTGTGGAAAGGGATCCAAGGCTTCACATCACTAAAACAGCGCAGAATTTAATAGGCCCAAAGTACAGGGGGAATGCATCTGACCGTGAATTGATGCCAAATTCACGGACAGGATGTGGTTTATAGGGGGGAGAGGGCTAGTTGTAGGGAGGCTGGAATTCAGAATTCTGCATCGTGTGTCTCCGTACTTCTCCGTTTTAACAATGGTATTTGACAGGGGAGAAAGGATGGAACAGGGACAAGATTGCTCAAATTCCACATGTCAACATTTTCTCTGGTAATAGTTTACTAGATTTCTACAAGGTTAGTCCATACATATATTGTCTCTCTTTCTGTAATTAAATTATTTGAATGGTGTTCTGTTTAAGGTAACTTAGATTCTTTAATTATGTGCCTATACTTTGAGGTTAGTCTCAATTTAATTAGGATATGAACTTTCAAATTTGCCGCTTTTGTATCTGAACTTCTAAAAGTATACATTTATGTCCAGTTCCATTAAAATAACATTAGGGTAAGAGATAAAATTATAAAAAATACCAATCTTCTTCTTCCTTTGGACTTTTTAGGCTGTGTTTGGTTGCTGTGCAATTTGATTGGCACTAGTATAAATGTATGGGATTGCAAATTCTAGTTTAATTTTGTTTTGGGTTTTACTTTATTTTGTTTTATATCTTAATTTATTTCATTTGTACTGCAACTAAACAAAATAAGCTAAAATTTAAAATAAAAGTAGGTCGGGATTTACACGAAAATCATTTACACTACTATAGTTTTGCATCAGTGTAAATTTATTTGTATTGCAAACAAACATAGCCTTAGATTGAAACTAGCAATGCCAAATCAAGCATTCGGAAGTGAGACTACAATGAACAAACTAGAGTGAAGTTACTTTAAAACCGCTAATTTGCATCAATTTAATGGAATTGGACTTGAATATATATATATATATATATATATATATATATATATATTTCTAAAAGTTCAGGTACTAAAATGATACATTCCAAAATTAAGGCCCTAAAATAAGATTACCTACAAAGTATATATGTAATTGTTTTTGGTTATACATATGCAGGTATTAATTAAATATCTCTGAGAGGTATGCATAACCATAGACTGAGAGGTTGTTTATATCTCTTCACAAGTATTGTTAATTCGAGTGCAACGTTGTTTATTCCCCTGTTTCCACTTCACATTGAGAGAAAACAATATAATAGTTCAACATTAATTACGCCAAGTTTTCTTTATGGTTATGTTTGGTTTGAAAGACAAAATAGGAAAAGGAAGAAAAATGTAGGGAAACCTAATATAAGGTTTGTAAAGGTTTCTTTACATTTCTCTACTTTTTCCTTCAAACCAAACACAGCCTAAAGAGATTTTAATTTTGGTGAAGTTCCAATTCAATGAATTAGCTACCAATTTGAATTTTGACAGCACATGGTAGGCCATACCAGAACTTGGCACTCAGGAAATTTTTTATTATTTCTTCTTTTTTTCGTTCAATCATTGGCTTTTATCTGAATTTCTTGTTGAATTCTTTATCTGAATACTCAACTTGTACCAACAAATATTTGGTTTAGACAACGTTTTCTCACATCTTGGTTGTCCAGGGAAGAGCTACAAGTTTATAGCAGGTATCTCAGTGACAAGTGGAAGCGTTTTGAGAGACCTGAATCCAATAATTGAAGCTTAATTAGTGGAATTTGTAAGGTACTATTATTTTCACATCCATCTCAAAACTCAAAATTGACAGTACTTAGGGTTAATTTGGTTCTCAGTCGGAATTGGAATTGAAATTTTTTAGAATTAGAACTAAAATTGTATATTTTCATAGTCCATTTGGTTCAGACAAGAATGAGAATGAGAATTAATGTCAATAGGAATCGGATTTCATTTCCAAGGGAGGGGGAAGGAATGGCCATTCCCTCTCTTGTAATTGCTTCTTTTGCTCTTACCCAGCAGGATGTTTTGGTATGTATCAGATGCAAGGTTCAAAATATCATTACGTATCAGCCCGTATAAACTGATACATACCGTATTGGAGCCTTCCCGATACACCCCTACAGAGAGTGTATCGGGTCAGGCCATGATTCAAAGGGTAGAAAAACTTAAACTGACCCCTCTAAACCAGTTTAAAAAAAAATACTGACATATCAACTTCTAACGATATTTAGAACCTTGACCAGAAGTTTGAGTGTCCCCGAGTGTGTGTAGATTCAGTGCTGATTCATTCATTGGGCGCTCTGAAATTAGCAAGGAGTGTGACTGTAATTATGTTGTTAATTTTGCTGCATATCTATCAAACCATAACACCCATGTGATGATTTTTGGTGGAAGGTTGAAAACCCTTTTCTCAAGCATGAATCCTCAATTTGTATTTTGTAGTTACTAGTCCTTTTAATTTAATTTACTGTACATGGCAAATGGTAGTTCAATTTTTGAGAGACTTATACCTTAATAACCAACAGAATGAAATCTGTTGCCTAACTCTTTTATATATGCCGGTTTATTATATATTACAACCTTACTTCATCATATCTTTTACTATACAGAAACCAATGTAAATTTGAATGAAAACAAGTTGACTGGTTACCAATTGGATGACACCGGTTGATTGGTTATAGAGTTGTTTACATTTTGGGTAGACCTCTTCAAGGGACAAGTAACCCAGTGGGATAGACCGGACCCAGACCACTCCTTTTCGATGGAGCTTGAGTATGTTTTGAGACTTGTGGGATCGGGCTCAGGAGAGTATCAAGCCACCCGATTAATTTTAGGCCAGGCTTGGACTAATATTTTATTACTAGTGGGGATCTGTGCGTAGAGGTGTAAATCCGGCCGGGCTGTTTGTGGCTTGACATAAAGTTGGACTGGCCTGGCCTGGCCTGTCACGACAACCCACGGACCGGGGGTTTGAGGTCCACGGGCTGGTATGGCACTACCCGCAGCCTGTGTGCCGGCATGGCCTGCACCATGGCCCGTCACAGGTGGGCACAATCCGGCCCGTAGCGGGCTGCGCTCGACCTGTTCGAAAATTAGCCATTGCCACCCCCCCAAGCCTCAAGTCCCCCTAACGACTACTTTCAGCTTTTTTTATTTTGGGGGGGGCGGGGGTTACATATTTGTTTTCAAAAATAAAATCTTTATCATATTTTGCTCAGCAAAAAAGAAGAAAAATCATACTTTAATTATCAGTTGATAAGAAGGATGTAAATAAAGTAGCAGAAAAAAATGCCATTCCAAGTGTGTTATGTAGGAGCATTATTCTTAGGTCCTATTTAGTATTCCAACTATTTGGTTGAGTGGAATTGGAATCTCATTCTCATTTTTTATGGAATAGTATTTTCCCATTTGAGGAAACGGCCATTCTCTCCCCCTCATTCTAACCGACTTCAATTCCTATTCCAATTCCTGTCTGAACCAAACAAATTATAGAAATAGATCATTCTAACTCTGATTCTGAAGGATTTTGATCCTAATTCCAACTACGAACCAAATGGATCCTTAGATTATGTTTGGTTTGAAGGAAAAAGTAGAAAAATAAAAAAAAAGTAGGGAAATTTATATAAAGCTATCAGGATGTATCAGCTTATGCGATGAAACTTTTAAACTTGATTATGCCATATATGCCTTAGCTTCACCTCAAGACAACCGTTCTAAGTGCCACTCAATTACTATTTTCTAGTTTAAATAAAGGCAGTTATAATTTGCACATATATATATCGTGTAGTTGTGTATGGTCTTTGTACATTTTGGGTGGAATCTTCTAAGCTCATTACTCTCTGTTTGGATAAACTTTGGAAAAACAAAATTGAACTGAAAACTGTCTCGAGTGTCTTGCTTCTAAAAGAATTATAATCTTAAGCCAATACACTTTTAAGCCCCAAAATAAAAAGCCTGTATTAGGTCTTATTGCCTTTGGGCTCAATTAAATATATCAACACCCTGTATTGGGTCCAGACCAGAGTTTTTCGTAATATCCTTGTGGGCAGTGGCCCATTACAACTGATGCACATTGGTGGTTGTCATGAATAGCTAATTGGTTTTAATAAAAATATTCTGAACAGCCCCATGTTATGTTAGGGTATGATGCCCGGACCCTATACCCATTCAGTTTGCAATGTTACATAGATTGAGCTAGCAAACTCTATCTTGTAACTTTTGTGTTGTGTTGTGTTATGTTTTCAATTTCTAGTAATTGTTTCTTTTTACTCCCCGCAGGGTGTTTTGGAATATATCAGAAATTTGACTGTGGCTACCTATACATCTTGTATCAATACCATGGAGGCATGGACATGGAGGAAAGCTGGTTGTAGTCGTAAAATTTCTACTGTTTTTATTGTAATTTATAATTAAACCTGGGAGAACCATTGGGTGTGAATAGTGTTGTACATGATTTGAAGAGTAGGCTAAAAGCTCTGTCATCTGTTTCCTATGTATATAGATCAAGGTTTCTAAAACCGGTTCGGACAACGAACCGGTCAGGGGTCTGGTTCTTGGCTCGAATAGTTCGACCGTTTGAACCGAACGAATAATTTATTCTGACAAAAAAATTAAAAAAACAGCCAAACCGTTGAATGGTTCAAACGGTTCGACCGCCCAAGTCAGCGATTTACTGACCAAATCAATGGTTTTAGGGGAAATAATGGTTCTAGGGAAAAACGGAACCGATGAACGATTCTTGGTTTTTTCGGTTTGACCATCCAGTCCGGTCTTATTTTGGAAACCATGATATAGATACATCAATCTTGATCAAACACAACACTAAGGCTATGTTTGGTTTGAAGGAAAAAGGTACGGAAGAGAATTGAAGGAAAAGTCAGAGAAACCTATACAAAGTTTATAAAGGTTTTCCTACCTTTTCCTTCATTTCCTTGCATTTTCCTTACCAAACATAGCCTAAATAAATCTCCCCATTTAGTAATTTAATTACTGGGCCTAAATGTAGTTAACTTCTAGTGTTTGATTTAAATCATGTTTTTTTCTCTAGCGTACTAATGTAGTCTGGATGATGAACAAATTTTCTACTAAAATGCTCCTAGGAAACTAAATGATTTGAAAGCTTCATTTGATCAAGCTGCTAATTCTTCATGTGGAAGCCACCAATTTGAAGTAGTGGTAGGTCATGATCCTTTGACTATACCACAAATATTGCCTCTATGTATAAAGGGCTTGGACCACAATTTATGTAGGTATATTGTTTATTATTTTTTGGTAAATGGAAGTCAATATATTGGGGTTGGAGGATAGCTTGAGTGTAATCGAGTCGAGTCAAGCCAGGCATCAAGCTACTCCAGCTCGAGTTCGATTCAAGTTTCGCGTATTTGGCTTGAACTTGACTCAAATCGAGTCAATTATAAATAAATTAATATTAAGTATATTAAAAATTTGTAAATAAATTAATATTATAAATAAAAATATCTTTTGGAAATCAATTATAAATGTATACATTAATATTATAAATAGTTTAATATAAAAAATGAATGTTTATTATATTATAAATATAAATATATTAAAAAATATTATTTTATTATGAGCTCGATTAGGCTCATCGAACTGGTTATTGTGAAGTTCAAACCCAACTCAACCAAGTATTTGACTCGAGTGGAACTCGACTCGCTTACACCCTTACTTGAGAATGAAAATTTGGATATCACTTTGGTTATTACACAACTTGGATATAGTAGTAAAAATCATGGATATATGAGTTTTGAAGTCAAGTTGAAGTGTGACAAATGGAAGTTTGATTTGGTCCTCACAAAACCTAGAAGGACCGAAGCTGCTTCTTCAATTCAAAGATCAAAGAAGGGAAGCTTTTACAAAATATATTTACTTTATACGACAGGTCCATACAATCTGCCGTATTAGACTTGTTCCAAGAATCTATCGAATGTCAAGTTGTGGTGTGTAAGGGTTGACCCTATATCCTCTTCCTCCCAAGTCCCATCTAGGGATATATAAGAGATGGTAGTAGCTAGTCCACCATCATATATATGCAAGCAGATGAATTGAAAGAGATCCTTTTGTTGATCAAAGCAGAATTAACGGGATGGCCGAAGCTGTGATCAGTAATGTCGTGGAGGGGAGGGATCATCAGTATAATCTCCTTCATTGCATTGCAGTTCAGATCAATCTAGCTTTTGGGGTTTCAAGGCAGAGCTACGAAAGCTGGAGAACATATTGCGGAAGATTCAAGGTGTACTTGGGGAGGCTGAGAGTGAGACGACATGGCAAGTAACGGAAGAAAATGTGAAAGATTGGCTGATGAATCTGAAAGAAGTGGCTTATGAAGCTGAAGACATAGTAGATGAATGTGCAACAGAAGTTTTGCGACGCGAGATTGAGATTGGAAACAGCATAAAGAAGAAGGTATGCAACTTTTTCTCACCCCAGTACTCCAACCACCCAATTGCATTTCGCCTTAAGATGGCTTATAAGGTTAGAAATATCAATGTGAAGTTGGATGAAATTGCAAAAGAAAAAAATATGTTTATTGGCGGTGTTAAAAACATGACGACTAAGCTACTAGTATTGATCATAAGGAGAGAAGAATGAACAACCGCGAAACCACTGCATCTTTAGATGATGATGATGATGATTTACCGGTTGTTGGGACTTGGGAGGGATGATGAAAAATCAATTGTCATAGACAAGTTAGTTAATAGCTACAACCAAGAGACGACTACATTAACCTCTGTCCTTCCCATAAGGCAAGACCACCTTAGCAAAATTGGTGTACAATGGTGAATCTATCCAGGAGTATTTCGATCTAAGAATTTGGGTCTGTGTGTCTGATGACTTTGATGTCAAAAGGCTTGCCACAGAAATTTTAAAAGGTAAAAGGTTCTTAATTGTACTAGATGATGTTTGGAGTGAAAATGCTGAAGAGTGGAACCGCTTAAGAAAGTGGTTTAGGAGGTGGTGCTAAGATAGGAAGCAAAATCCTTGTAACAACACGTAGCGAGAAGGTTGCATCCATCATGGGTGGTGGACATTCTCTAATGCATCGTTTGAAAGGATTATCCGATGAAGATTGTTGGTCCATATTGAAGCAATGCTTTGCTTATTGTTCTGTGTTTCCAAAAGACTATCAAATGTATAAAGACACATTGATAAGTTACTGGATTACACATGGGTTTGTGATTGCACCGATTGATCACGAGGTTTTGGAAGATATTTCAATAGCTTATTGGGTAGGTCGTTTTTCCAAGATATAGAGAGAAATGGGTTTGTACCTAATTATATCTCTTCCATCGACCCAATGCAAATTTGTTAATTAAAGGTAATTCAATTAATTTTATCTCATTTAATTCATTGCTCTAGCTACCTAATTATTTCTGCATGTGTATACATATTTTGATGTTGTTTACTCCCCTGTTTCTATTGAGACATTTTCTAGTCTCCCTCTCTTCTTTTTTAAAAGAAGAAAAAAATCTGAGTGTCTAATTAACTAGTAGGTGTACATTTCTTTTTTCTTTTTTTTCTTTTTTTATTGTAGTACAAATGAAGTAAAGTTAGATTTGAAGCAGAATAAAGTAAAACCTAGAACAAAATTAAATCAGAATTTGCATTATTTTCATTTGCACTCTTAAGCATTTGTACTAGAGCAAATTGCTGAGTTCTGGCCTGGCCTGTGCGCACTTCAGTTTAGAAATACAGCCCTTGCCCCTGTCAGACAATTAAATCTCTCTTTCTCTTTCCTTTCTTTTTTTCTTTTCCTTCAATCTTTGGCCTTTATCTGAATTTCTTGTGGAATTCTTTATCTGAATATTCAACTTGTACTGATATATTTGGTGTAGCTAACATTTTTAAACATCTTGGATGTCCAGGAAAGAGTAGTTAATTGGCTTTAGGTATCCAATAATTCAAGCTATATATATATATATATATATCAGAAATAATTTGAGTGTGCTTCTGTATATATGCCTCTTAATTGTATCACTACCAGCGGGGAGGAAAAACATCAGTTCTGAGACAGTTCGCAATGTGTTTGTTGTATTAGTAGAGTTGTGTGAATGTGTGCATGTTTTTGTTCAAGATTTAAAGATTCAGGCTAATAAGCATCATATCATGCATATTTATTGGGGAGAATGACGGTTCAGCCCAAGGTCAAAATACTGTTGGGGTAGGTACCAGCTCGGAGTTGATGTTAATTTACGGGCAGACATTGGTGTTAGGTAGTGTATGCCTTTAGCTTCAATTAGATTGATGTATTGATACATTTATTGTAAATGATTAATAGTATATATTTGATTAATGTTATTTTGGTGTGTTTCTATGTAATACCCTTAAATTGAACATTTATGAGACTTGTGTTAGTTTAAAATCTTTACAGTCGTTGGGTAGATCTGAGGAGATTTATCTTGCCAAGTGGGTTGTAGTGGTTTGTTTCAGGTACATGTAGTGTGGATTTTCCTGAAACCCTGAACCGAACCAAATTCTAGTATTGCCCTGGACTTTGGATACAGATGGGCAAAACTGGAATGTTACACCTGACCCCAAGACTCGATTATGGTACTGTACTAGGTGTTGGGTTGGATTGTTTTTGATATGCCAATTAGTGAGATCCTTAACTGGGTAAAAAAACTGAGTATGTTGGGGTAGTCCGAGAATTCACCTGAGTGGTGATCATAGTGACAGGGAATGCACTCTCTCTGATGGAAACCTAAATTGCCGAAAATTCACCCTTTGTCGGACAAAGTGAATGATCATGGAATGCACTCTCTCTGATGGAAACCTAAACTGCCAGTAGTTGATTTCAAAGTGTTGAAATTTGTTTTGCAAAATATATTTATATAAATATAGACATATATATTATGGTTTCATAAAATGTTTGTAAAATGTTTTAATTCCTAGGATCCATGTGAGTAAAGAGTGCAACACTATACGTTGCAACGAGTGGGAGGTCCTCTCTTATCGGGAAGTGTTTGATCATTAAGGGTTGAGAGGTTAAGTGTAAGACCATTGAGGGTTATACCTAATGGGATAATCTTGCATTTACCCATAGTCCTTGGGCCTTCATAAGGTGGTTGGGCCCAATGACCATTTAGCGTAAATATTGGGCCCATTAAGAGCCCGTACTGATGAATTTAGGGGTTCATTGTGTTCTATAGTGAATTTGGCCAGGCCTTGTAACAAAGGCTGGGCTGAACCCATGTGTCTCATGTGTAGATCAATGATAGGGTCCCACACCATACAAAAAGAGCTAAGCTAACCAACATTTAAAGGTAAAGTGAGCTATGTGACTAAATGGGCCTAAAGCCCATTTCTAACTAGGCTTAAGCGAGTTAGTTAAAAATGGGCGAATTCTGGTTTATAATCTGATTAGGATTAGCTAAAGGATAAGATAAGTCTTATCCATTTAAGAGTCTATATCCAAATATTAGATTTGGATCAAGAAACTCTTTCCTAATTGGATTAGGAAGCTGATCCAAAGAAGGTTATAAATAGGGGCAAATTTACCAGTTTCATGTACTCAGCAATCTATAGAACTCTCCTCTAATTCTTGCCGCCCCTACCCAGTTCGATTTCCACCTTTGGATCTCATCAAGAATAGTTCTTGGTATTGTTTCTTGCTAGAAGAAATAATCTAAAGTCGTGCTCACCAACCCCTTGCATGATTCTTGTTGAAAAATTAGGGTTCTTGCTGAAGAACAACTTTGCTAATCTTGCCTCACCATAAGTTGTGTCATCTTTGGGCGTGAACAGCGGGAGTTATTGTTATTATGTATCAAGTATATCCCTACTTCCTTTTGGTTTCAGATCTGGTCTGGTTTGTTTCAAGAATGAACCTTGAAAATGCGATTTTCTAAATTAGGGAATAGGATTCCCGAAAGGGAGAACGAAAGAAAATTTTTGAAATTTCGCCCAACCTCCCTACAAGGTTCGGCCATCCATATGATGGATCTTCCTTTCCTTCAATTGGTGCATAGAGTATGGGTTGTTGACATTTTGAATGTTTATAACTCTGCAGTGGAAATAAAAAATTTGCATTAGGCATGTCCGTACTTTTCCATATTTATTATTTACTATACAAACCCAAAATCTGTTTGATCATCTTTCTATGTACCAAGGTTCAAAGTATTGATACGTATCGGCCAATACGTATCATTCTGAGAACTCCCCGATACACCCCTATAGAGGGTGTATTGGGGTTCTGACCGATTCAACGGGTAGAGGAGCCTTAAGCCGGCCCCTCTGAACTAGTCTTGAAAAAAATAAAAAAAAAAGTGAAAAAAAAGTATCGATATTGCCCAATACACACCTACCGATGTATCGATATTTTGAACTTTGCTATGTACAACTTAGCACCTTTAGTTGTCCTGTATTCAAAACAAGCTTGGCGTGTGTAGGTACTGAGGTGCTCTAGCTTCGAGGTGCTCTGGTACTGATGTGCTCTGGTTTCGAGGTGCTTTGGTACTGAGGTGCTCTGGTTCTGAGGTGCTTTGGTACCGAGGTACTTTGGTACCGAGGTGCTTTAATTCCAAAGTGACCAAGATCTCGAGGTCCTCCGATCTGATGTCGTGGCATCACACGCTGATCTGTCGTCTAACTGGCAGGCCACATCCACGTGTCCCTTATTCATTAGGTCGGGCCAAATCACCCCTCTTTAGTTCCCAATTAAAAAAAAAATAAAAAACGGGTGACCCATTCTGACAAAAAAAATTACAAGCAAAGAATTGAGTGTGTGATGTCCATTAAGTAGTATTATACGTGTTATGTCATTCGAGCATGTGACTCATACGAATTGAAGGCAGAACCGTTATGGCCACCGGTTTTTGGGTCGATAGTTCGACTGTTCGGTTCGAACAGATGGCCCGTTCTAATAATAAAAATTAAAAAATAAAAAAAATGACCAAAAACCATTGAATGGGTCAATGGTTCGATTGCCTGGGTCAATGGGTTGTTGACTGATTCAACAATTTTTGTCCAGAGACCGAGATTAGGATAAAACGAAACTGGTTGCTTGGATGGTTCCTAATTAAAAAAAAAAAAACGACTAAAAGCCATTGAATGGGTCAGCGGGCCAACGAGTCAACGGATCGACCACTCAGATCAATGGATTATTGACCAATTCAACAATTTTTAGCCAAAGACCGGATCAACGGATCAATGGTTCCATTCCAGCCCCTGCAAAGCAGGGCCCCTCCTTTAATTATAATCTTAAGCCAATACACTTTTAAGCCCCAAAGTAAAAAGCCTGTATTGGGTCTTTTTTGCCTTTGGGCTTTGACAACATAAATCCGGAGAGTTTATTCAAACACAACTATATCTAGCTTTGGTCTTTGCAAGCCAAACTAACCGGGCCAAGGCAATTGAATATATCAACACCCTGTATTGGGTCCAGACCAAAACTTTCCGTAATACTCTTGTGGGCAGTGGCCCATTACAATTGATGCACATTGGTATTTGCTATGTATAGCTAATTGTTAATAAAAATATTCCGAACAGCCCCATGTTATGTTAGGGTGTGATGCCCGGACCCATTCAGTTTGCAATTTTACAACATAGGTTGAGCTTGCAAACTCTATCTTTTAACTTTTGTGTTGTGTTGTGTCAAGTTTTAAATTTCTAGTAATTATATTGTTTCTTTTTCAGTTTGACCATCCAAATTCGGTCTGGTTTTGTAAACCATGATATAGATACAACAATCTTGATCCAACACAACACTAAGGCTATGTTTAGTTTGAAAGAAAAAGGTACGGAAGGGACTTGAAGGGAAAGTCAGAGAAACCTATACAAAGTTTATAAAGGTTTTCCTACCTTTCCCTTCCTTTCCTTACATTTTCCTTACCAAACATAGCTTAAATGAATCCCCCCATGGATTGTCACATTTTGAAAGTTTGGATACTGAATTGTCGCGTTTTAAAGTTCTGGGATCAAATTGTCACTCGAGCCAAAATACATGGTACTGATCAGAAATTTTTCCAAATAAATACTAATAAAAAAATCAACGAAAACAACAAGGTAAAGAATACCCTCGCCATTCATTACCCACACTGAAACCATTCTTTTCTTGTGCTCTCACTCACTCAGACCTTTTCTTCGATCAAAGTGAAAAACAGAGCATCCGCTCAGACCTCTTCAAAATTCCCCACACAACTATTCTCTTTTTATTTATCGAGCCCTCCCCTCCGCCCAAAGCCTGAGACTGTAATCCCTAGTAGCAGAAGCAGAAAATCGACTACTATTTTATCATTCATTGTCCCCTTTGAAGATTTCCCATTTTCCTGAACCGATACCAATACCCTCTTTCTCCATCTCTCAGTAATCTTTTCTTTCACAGAAACTAAACCCCATTTAGATTTAAACTTTAATATATTTTGTCTTTCTCTCTCTCTTTCTCTGCTACTAAAAATTGACATATCATCACTCCCTTTTCTTCTGTTTGGCTCCTTTTCCTCCTCCCTTGTTATCTAGCCACTTCTCTTACAGGAGACGCTATCACCCTTCCTTAGACAAAGTTGCAACTAGACCCCCTTGGTTAGAATCCTTGTAGTTACTTTGACCAAAATGTTTATTATCTAAGTTTTCTCTACATATGAATCATTACCCCAAAATCCTTCCAATCTCTTTTCTCAAATTGAATTATTTTTTCCAAATTTGCCCTTCATACCAATCACCCAAAGGCAAAACTGCAATTTTAAATTCCCTTTTTTTTGCTTTCATAAAGTTTGTATTGCTTTTTTCCATAAAAACTAATCTCAATAGTAATTGCATGGATATTTTGGACATTTCCATGCCTCCTTTTAGAGGATTTCAATAGGAGGGGTCTACTTGCAACTGTGACATAAAGTTTAGGGGAAGTGACTGCAATTATCAAACTTAAGAGGAGGTTTTTGCAACAGCCTAAAACTTCATGGGAGGTTTCAGACATTTACCCTAAATTAAAACGTCTTGTGGATTCATCGTTTTGTGTAACTGATGCCTCAAATTATAGACTTTCATCAAAATCTAAAAATGGGACATCAATTGAAGTTCCTAAATAGTAAATAGAGCAAGCCTCAAGCTTGTCCCTAGCAGCTTAATCATTTTCTTTTGGATCGTTAGAAGCTGCTAGAAAATCAATTTCAAAGATCATGGGGCTTTTAAACACTTGACCATATCCTCAACTTCCCTCTTCACCTGGCAAATTAATTACATACTGAGTTAATTTAGTTTAACTTTTCTAGTCCTATACATTTCCTTTTTATAATACACAAAGTTGTCAATGAGATATCCAGCAAAAAATTTGCCGGGAGAATAACCGCTTTGATCTTAATTACCTAATCAAGTAATCCTTAATTAAGCTGAATAAAGCAATTCAAGATATATAGGGGTAAGATACCCTATTTAATTACTGTTGTTTTAAGTGTGGAAAATAATTATTTTTAACACACATATAGTAAATTAATATATATGTGTATATTTATGAAACATTGAATTTATTACATATAAATTTATATATTAAAATAAATATTTAGTATAGTATAATAGGACTCAGATTTTAATAAGATTTGATGGAATTGAATCCGCATTCAATTCAATTATTAATAACATGCACATTGTAAAATTTGACTCGGATCAACAGATAATCCGAATCCAAGATAATCAAATTTCTGAAGTCCATTAGCTGCCCTATCTGCATCAGGGGACCATTGAGACACCCCACAAACCGAGACACTCGAAGATTCAAGTGTCATACCATATCTCGACCCCTCATCATTTCCCTTGTATTGTTTCTAATTAAACTTCTCTGCCAGTGCAGGTTAAACCTCCAAGATGCAAAGACTAACGGAATAGTTCCCCTCTCGCTCTGTTTCCTCAAGTCAGTGAGATAGCCACCATTTTGGGATCAAATGACTTTAGTATAAGAGATTGCTTTGATATTAAAAAGAACAAGAGGTTAGAAAAAAGTAAAGATTTTTAAAGCAAGTTTACACCCTTAGCCTCTCACATTTATGGAGCCTCTCAAACAGGCAAGACAGTCTCAAAACTCAAAAGGATATCCACAGGACTGCAACTATAAATCTTATATTGAATCAAAGAAAATCATGGGATTGGATCTAGCTGTTCTGTCGTGAAAAGATATGGATTGGATCTAGGCATTAGGACTTTTAAAAGCTGTCGCTTTTTGTTTTTCTGTTATGCCTCAACAACAATGTACTACCGAGAACACAAAACAAAGCAATGGACTTAAATATCTTGAGAGTAATATAATTATGTTTACTGATTACAGAAAGTAAATTATGAGTAATATAGTTATGGTTTTTATGGACAAACTTATCAAGTGGTAATATGTTGCATGGGCTAACCATACAAGGTGAAAATTCCAAATTACAGTTATAAGAAATTGGTTCAGGGACTATTCCAAAACCTGTTACACATGGATGTGCAACCATAAACACAAGCAGGCAGAGCACTACAAATGGCGCACATACAATCTTAAGACTATGTGTGATTATCAGCTCAATACCCATTCGTTATATCAAAATGAATGAAAAGTGAAAAAAATCTCTTGAAGACCTGAATCAACTTGATCACAAACCCACGCACAGAATACTCAAGAAAGTGCAGGCCAACAGTTTCAGAAACTTACTGAAAGTGAAATATTATGGAGGCATTCATGGAGAAATTTCTAATTGCTCTTGAACCCACTTGTCATAATCTTGGAGTAGCCTCTCAACAAGTAGAGAAACAAGTTTATCTACCAGTCTTTGCATGATTCTGTATGTGACCACATTTGCACAGATTAACGAGTCTCAATGTAATAGAAGCAATAGAAATACTTAGTCATGTTGAAAAGGCAAATCACAATTGTCAGGGAACCACTCAACCTAAAAGTTTAATCTGTTAGGTGAGGTCCCTGAATAGGTCTTTATTCTCTAACACACCCCCTCAAGCAAAAGCCTATCGGGCTTGAAGGCATGGGCAAGCACAGGGCCACCCATACCTTGTGCTGAAATTTAATTAATTAAATATGGGGGTGATGAGGATCAAACAATATATCACTTGGTCAAGCAGGCTCCAGTACTATGCCAGGGAACCTTTCAACCTAAAAGCTTAAGCAGGTGAGGTCCCTGAATACTAACAACAATCAAAGATGGGAGCACACATCTCAATTGAGAACCAGCAATCAGGATTTGTATGGTCTCAAAGGATATTTCCAAGAAGCTTTGCTTCAGAGAATAACTCTAGAAAGTGCACTACAATGTTTCAGCAATATGTAATGCTATGGAAAAAAAGTTGAGAGGTTTAAGCAACTCCAGAAGCACAGTACCTATTTTCACTAGCATTCATGCTTCATTTCTGATAGACAATAAAACAATTTCAACAAAATTTTAGTAACTTACAAATTTCCAGGGTTCTCAACAGCAGACACTGGAAGCAAAGTGAACGGTCGTGTATATATCTGTAAATGGTACACAAAGCAGAACTAAAACAATATCATTAGTTCATTGCATAAAGTATAATAATAACCTCTTCCACTTGAGGTAAATTGAATGTGATCAAGCAAGTCAATAGAACCATAATGATATCTCACTTGATCACATGTACAGAGTATAATTAGAGTACTGAATATTAAATTCAATAGGCTGCTTGAGAAAAACTTGCATCAGTTCTGAACTTCAGTACAAAATATCTCGACAACAATTTTTAAAGTAATCTTGTTGGCTTGTTTTTGACAGTCAAATTAAATCAAAACTTGAATAAAGCTAAATATGGATGCAATTCTTAAACTCTGAATGCTTGAAATGGAACTGAACATTTATCAATCCATTTGCACCAAGCCATTCTCTCCAAATTAGATCAGCTTTCATTTACAAAGCCATGTAGATATTTTTCTATCCCGAAATATGCAGGGAACTGAGAATGATTAAGTCATATGCCAAATGTTGTCATTTGTCATTAGCCGTGTCAACTGCTTAATAGTCAGGAAGGGTTTAAGGTATTACATATGAGGAAGAGGAATGTTATTTCCACCCTAAAATCTGAATTGGGATCTGAAGATGATCTTTTGAACATGTCATTAGATTGTCGTGTGGTTAGAAGAAACTCAGTTCAGATCATTCAACAAAGCATAAGCAATCTTATTTTATAATGATGCAATAACATTTACCTCAGACATGCTACAATGAATAAGTAACTTGCAAATATGTATATTGATCTTCTTAAGCTTAAAGGAGAAGATAAATGACCTCAAGAGTGATACTCAACTTCACGTCCACATCCAATGATGGCTCAGAAGTACTTGCATCCCACTTCATGTGATTTACCATGGATGCTGCATATTGAAGACAAAGGTTGAAGAACATGTATTTTCACCATGAAAAATCAAAGGAATATAAGTTACTTATAGCATACATAGTGATTTGTTTCTTTTCTTACTCAATAACACAAGGTCGCACATCCAAGTATGCAAGTGTGGTGATAATTTTTTTTTTAGTTTTTTTAGGGATTTTAACAACCCCATGACTGCAAAAGCATTGACAAGGTGTTCTTTTCAAGTTCAAAAGTTATGGAAACTTGGATAGAAACCAACATGACTGGTATCATGTTGAGTTTGAACCATAAGCCAAGTATCATTCATCTAGGAACCATCTTGATTTGGTTGCACACTTACAAATCATTATATTAGTCCAAAATATGTACCTGAGAAATGGTCATTCTGGCATTCCATGGCCTCTGAACCCTCAAACTGTTATGTAAAGAAAGAACATTAACAAAAAAATATATATAAATTTTGCATGACCAAGCAAATGCATTACCTGAACATATGTATAACTTGAACCAACAAAAGGTTATGTCTCAAATATTAATGCAATATGTGAAAATGTAATAAAAAAAAGAGTTGTGATATATGGAATCCATGCTTTTAAATATCCATCCAATGTCATGTTTGTTGTTCATATTCAATACTTGTGGCATATATCTATTTCATAGATAATGATGGTGTTAATCAGAAAAAATAAATAAAAAGAATGAATTGGAACCCTGAGTAAAAGAGAGCAGGAGTGTCACAAAGCTAAACAAGGACCATAAGAAAAGGGCCCTCATTGAGGCAAACTCATATAAGACAACTCCTACATAGTAATGATTTCACCAGCGGAAATAAAATAAAATAAAAAACTAGAGCTATAGGACCCAATTATGGCCAAACAAAACTACAACGAAACTGACAGTCCCTAAGGTTCTCTAGAACCAGATGTTCATAGTAAAGGTGAAGGCTTTGGCCTCCCTGATAAAGTGAACTCAGGCCCCATGGACCATCTGGGATGCCAGTTAACCACCACATCATTAATGGCAATAAAATTGCCACTGCAACAGTTCCGCAACAAAGAAAAGACAAGAACTCCTTGTTCCTTTTTCTTCCTTTCCTTTTTCCCCTTTACTTGATTAGCAATGATTGTGCTAGGGCCCATTGCTTGGTTAATGGTAAAAGCTCAGACCAATAATCATGAAAACACAGGTTTGAGTCTTGGAGCAGCTACTATGTGCAATGATATGCCAAATGCTAGGTCTGTATACAGCCCATCCCTCCCAAGACCCAAATCAATTTTACCAACATTAGCAATAGTATTTTGTGCTAGGAAAATGAGTAAAGAAATTTTATCTGAGCCTCTCTGGAGTGGGAGGGGATTCTAGAGGTGATTCAGGGGATACATTGACAGTCCATTCAGGGCTTATAAGCACCTTGGAAAGGGAAAATCACCTAACATAAGGGGAATCTCTGCATTTACCCTTACAACTTTCACAAAGGAGTAGCTCTTGGCCTTTGCACATTCCTATTGTCATTCCATTGTGGCATGCTCTAGGTATTATTTGAAACATGACACATTATATCTTGAATTCATATTCAAATATCATTACATATTGTTCCAATGTTCTCAGACATCAGAATATTTCAGCTTTCTTGCATGATAGGATATATATGTACTGGCTAAATCCTCATAAATTTGAGAGTTGATCAAGGAACCCACTCTGTCTAACAAAGCTTTACACCAACTACATGGGATAGACATTTAACGGTTCTAATTACCATGCAAAAAAAATCATGAGGCTAGATTAGCAATTATAAAATATATACTTCTGATGAGATTATAATGCAGTAAATAATACAAAATGTTGAAAATATCTGCACAAGATATCTAAATTTTACAATCTTGACATATTAATGCTAGAACATAACCTATGTAACTTCATCATCTACATTATATTACTTAAGTGGGGTTCACAGCCACAGTGCCCAGATATGGATACAGACACAGAGGACAGAAGTGGGAAACAGGATATGACTCTCCATTCACTGTGACCTAGGACATGCATATGGATACAATTATTCCATCTTTCTATATTGATTTTTTTTATGAATAACAGAGAATTTATTAATGATTAAAGCCAAAAGATACAACAAGGGTAGGGTATGTTTTATCAAGAGGACAGAACATACATACATACATACATACATATAAGGGTATTTTTGGGATATTTTCATGTATTTGAGCTCTATGGATATACATTCATGTTTATGGGGGAAATGTTGGAATTTTACCTTTAACATGTTAAGAAATAAAATGTATTGAGAGGTTGGGGTCACTTGACTTAACCCTTCTCTCCTCTTCTTCATCTCTCCTAAACCACTAAGTCCTACACACAAATTTGACAAGAGACAGAGCCATTATCCAATGTTGGTCCCTGCTATTCAGGGTCTTGGGAGGGTGAATTGGATATGCCCCTAACCTCCAGCATTTTTTGCACCAACTGCTGCTTTCTAACCAAGAGATCGGAGATGGGCAGATGGATACCAAAATAAACCTTGAAGTGACCTCTTCTGTTAATAATTGAGTGGATATCAGGGTACAATTGGGATTAGTGACCAAGAGATTACCTTTTTTGTTACCTTGGTTTGATAATTCATAACAAAGGAGAAATGGAGGTGGATGTTTCCTAGAGAACTAGTTGGATGGGCAAAATTGACCATACAAGCATGGAATCAAGAATCCATGTAGAAAGAAATCAGTTTTTCCCAATTTCTCATCCAATGGTGTTTTTTGTACTGTCGAGTTCTTTAAATTGGGTCCTTAAGTGGAATCACACCCAAAACCATATAGGATGGTATGAGTTAACAATGCAAACCTTAAATCCTGCCCCTTTGTTTCAAAAGCTCTATGGAGGTGTGTTAGGGCTGCTATATGCTAGACAATTTGGAAAGAAAAGAACTCAAGAATTCTTTCTGGCAAGGAGTAAGGAGGCCATTACTGAGGTAGTTACTATTAGAGTAGTACAGTGTGGTGCAGTCTCTGGAATGTTTAAAGGTATCTCCACAGATATGATCAGAAGGAATTGGAAGGATGTGGCTGATTCGGCCCCTGCACAAACCAAGGTTAGCCCCCTTTAGTCTCCACCAGCTTCTAGATTCGCTAAACTTAACTTTGATGGCAGTAGTGAAGGTAACCTGGGCTATCTGGCAACGGTAGAACCTTTGGGATGAAGAGGAAGAGGCATTGCTTTATTTTCTTCTCCTACTAGTGTTGGTGACTCACTTCTTGGCACTGATGGAAGGAGTGAAGAAGGCTAATGAGTTGAATTGTCGCGAGCTCATTGTTGAAGGGGATTCAAAACTGGTTATTGGCTGTCTGCAAAAAGAAGAGAATGGTCAATGGAAGTTTTCTAATGAAAAAAGATTGTTCAATCGGCTAGCACAGGACTTGAAAATTCAGTTACAGTGGGTAAAGAGGGTTAAGAGGGTTTTCCTTGGGAGAGGATTAAGAGGGTTTACCTCTCCCTTTCCTTGTAACCATTTTTTCCTCGATGAAACTTTTCTATCATTGATAAAAAAAAAAAAAAAGTGGAGCAGTGAAGCTTGGTTACTTGTTCCATGCCTACTAAAATTTGCTACAGTTCCTGGGACAACAAGGGTTATAAAAACGTGATGTAGAAGATAATAGTAGGCAAATGCTTATTCATTCTTTACAGGTAATAAGTATATCACATTGATGCCTGGACATAATTTGCCAATACCTGAGCTTGAGAGGAATACAGGTACTTTATTGCTTACACATTTGCCCAAAGACAGAATACCTAGCTGTCTTCCAATCTCAACGAGTCAAGTTTTTCCAGAAGAGGAAATTTGGTGCAACAGCATGTATTTGGTTAGATCAATCTGAGTTCCTTTAGAATCTCAAAAAGAAGATAACAGATCTAAAGAGAAGAAAGAAATAGCATTAAAAAATCTTTTGGCTTCACTCTCATCTCAAGGGAATTTCACAGGAGAAGAATTGGTGAAAACCAAGAGTGGGATCTACTTGAGATGCCCTTCTTATATTGAAGTTATAGGTGCCCTGGAAATAGGGTTTTAAGTTTTCTAGAAATTTACTGTTATTTATGAAGTACTGTTTATGAGAACTTTCAGATACTATTTATAGTAATTCCCATAAATGCTATATATAATATATCACAATTTACTAATTTTAGTAATTTCTAATGTTGCTAGGGAGTTAAGAGTCCTTATTTGAGTGTCATCATGGGTTTTCATAGTTATAAATCAATCAGAAGTTGTCTTAGATCAGTTTCCTAGTCCAAATTGGAGTCTATAAGGAGTCATCCAAGTTGTTGCTAGAAATGGTCATTTGAATAGTGGTAATTTGGTCTATTTACACTATTCTATGTTAATTATGGTTTTACTAGCTTGTATATATTTAAGTTAAATCTCCCACACTGAAATAGGACTAGTAATGTTTATGTATCCCATCCCCATGATAACTAATATACAAAGGGTCTCACTGCCTAGGGAGAGTTTACTTTCTCTTCTGCCCTCTTTTCTTTATTTCCTCTTTCTTTCTCCTCTCTTTCTGTTCATACAGTCTCCTTTCTTAACCTATGCTGAACAAAATCTACCTTTCATGGTATCCGACCTCTATGGGAGATTGTCTAAGGCTGCGATCACTCTTATACAGATCTGCAATCTTCTTTCTTGGTGTTCCAGTGCTTGATTTTCTGTTAGGAAATAAAGAACTCAAGTTGGTAGGCTGCAATCTCTCCTTTTCTTCCTTCTTGCTGTGGTCATCATGGGTGACATGTTGATGGTGCATGTGGAAGCTTAAGGAACTCTAATAGGTTGTTACCAAGATGGACTGTATGCAATAGGTTGATTGTGGTGTGGTTTAGCACATCGTATGAGCTGCTGAATCTACATAGATGTGAATCTCATGTGGTGGAGAGCATAGTGTGTTGGTGGTGATTTATCTCTGTTGGTGATAGTGGTGTGGAGAATTTCAGAATGATGTATCATAGTCCCTTTTGTACACTTTTTTTGTAATTTATGAAAGCTGAAATGCTGTAGCTGAAGTAGCAGAAGAGAGAAGGAGACCAAGAGATGCTGAGAATGTCGAACTGTATAGCCCAGTCGACAGTACTATTATTTATATTATAGTACAATGTTACAGAAAAAGACTGGAATGCCCCTGATTAGTGATGGGACACCTAGACAACTTAAAACACTAAACAAGCTTAGGCCCATTAACATAGGCCCAGTACATAATAACTTAAACTCAAATACAGGCTAATAAGAACTCTTATTAGTCGAACCATCAATACATAAAAACCTTCAACCTAACACTCCCCCTCAAGCTAAGCATGGATGTCAATCATGTTTAGCTTGCCAAGAAGGTCCATGAACTTTGCTGCAGCCAACCCTTT